CGATTGCATTGGTAGGCAATCGCACGCGAGGTGGCGGTAATGCTTCGAAAGTTTGCTTGAAGGACTCCACCTGGAGCCTGTGGCTCAATAGCCTGACCCACAAGGCATTGGGGGATTTGGAGGCTTGCTTGAGGGTCTCAGCTCGGAGCCTTTGGCTCAATATCCTGACCCACAAGGCAGTGGATGGTTTGGAGGTTTGCTTGAGAGACTCCGCCCGGAGCCTTTGGCTCAATAGCCTGACCCACAAGGCAGTGGGTGGTTTGGTGGTTTGCTTGAGGGTCTCCGCCCGGGGCCTTTGACTCAATAACCTGACCCACAATGCAGTGGGGAGCAGATCCAGCTCGGGAGTGTGATTGCAAAGACAGCCTTTGAGGTACTGGAACGATTCATATATGTTTTGCAACCGTAGTAGGATACGCACCTGCGACCACGGCCAGACGCAGGAGGGTTTTGGCGGGTTTGCACCAATTTGACCAGGGGCTGCCTGGCTTGAGGCGGACAGTAGCAAAGCATTGAGCACCCGGAGGTGTCTCTCCGTCGTCAGAGACAATGCGTGGCGCTCGTGCTCTACGCCAATCGAGCTGTGAGCTTATAACCCGTAGACCTGTTGTCTCCCATGGCTAGGTTTTATGGGAAGATGGTCATCGACCACTTTCTAATCTCCGAAGAGGATGGACTAGGATACTGCCAGGGCGCTCACACCTGACAGGTGTACGACTCGGGTCCGCAGCCAAAGCCTTCGACTAAATGTACACCCGAAAGGCAGCGAGTCTCACAGATGGTCAGTTCACTTACTCGTGCGGATTGGTGTCCTGGGTTTTAGCAAGGAGAAGGGCGAAACCCAACTCCCACCCAGCAGTCGCCACGAGACGTCCAGGACTTGATCAAACGGCACAATAGTAGCAGCAGTGGGTAGACCATCTGTCAGGATCTAGCCACCACCAGCCTCAGCGCACCATAGGCTCTCCCGCTGCGTATATATATATATATATATATATATATATATATATATATATATATATATGCAAGAGAAGGCCCTCTTGCACGCGCGGAAGAAGCGGCAGTTGCGGAAGCGACAAGCGCCGATGGGTTGTACCCCATCGACGTCAAGCGCATGCGGTCGCGAGTGCATGAGTCAGGCAGGCCTAGTGAGCCACGAGCGAGGCCATTCAGGATCAGCATCAAAAAGACGACGGGTGCTGCTGAGAACGTAAGTAGAACCGGCGCAACGTTTGTAGGTACGATGCATTCGGTTTACTAACAGTGTGCTTGCGTGCCGAGTCTTTGTTTCAGGTGGCAGTTTTACTATCTTTTTTAAATTCTTTTCTTACCTCGTTTTAATGTCTGCCCGAATAAACTAATCATTTGCAAAGTTTGCCTAAAGGAATGATGCTTACCTTCGTTTGTTTTCTCCATTCTGCTGTTTTTTGATCTCTATCTACCGTATTCAGTTTATCGCGGCTATGTTGATAATCCATTTATATCATGTGCTAATTTAGCGGCATATTCGTATGGCGTTTCTGACCTATTTTATGGATTATTTCATTTCATGTGATTGGCTGCTGCTTGACATCCACGGTGTGGGTGGCTGCGCTTGATGTGCGTGTAGGCAAGGTGCCTACCTGGCTGGCTTGCCGAACAACCTTCTCGTAGTTCCAGCTAAGTGGTTCGGATTATCCCGATCCAGCAAATCGTTCGGCGGCGGTGTTCCAGGACGTGGTGGGTTTTCGCATGGCAAGCGATCTCCCTATAAAAAATCGCATATGTCCGTTTAACAACAATTTGACTTGGCGAATGTGACTCCCCACTAAATAAAATCACTGCCTCTTGCTCCATACTAGCGAAGCGTTGTGTTCCAGTAACTTAATGCTGAAATTTTGGGGAGCATTAGCCTCTTTTTGTCAAACGAAAGGCGTATGAACTGGAAAATCAGTCACCGGCTCCAAATGGGCACGATTCCCTGAATTCGCTCCGCTGTCTTGCGGGCAGGCCATTCGGCCAAAGACTCGGGGTAGTGCCCCCTAAGTCAACGCCATATTTCGGCTTGCGCAACCGGGTAGTACCTCGCTATCTGACGCAACCATGAACTCCTCCGTGTTATGTTGTGTTTCTTTTAACGATATCTTTACCTTCCTTTGAGTTCTATGGTTTTTGATGGCTCCATGCCTATTCGTGGGCTGTTGCAAATATATAAGGTGCCTACCTGTCTATTACACACCACCTCGTTTATGCTGGCTCTAGGAGACAGTTGGTCGTTGCTGGAGGGGACTTGATGCACGGTCCTTGTGGCCGTGCTAGGCTCCAAGAGTGGTTCCATGCTCACGGTTTGTGTAAGGAGTGGACTACGGTCCAGCCACCGCCTTGTGTGCGATTGATTCCCAAATCCAGCATGCTTGTGTTTGCCTGAGAAGAAGTGTGGTCCGGCTCCATTGATGAAACGTGGCTCCCATCTACATGCCTCCCGGTCTTATTCTTTCGGGTTTACACTGGATATGGGGTGTGTGGTTGGAGCTGTAGGTGACGCAGCGCAAGCCATCCATGGTCCCTCTGTAGGCACAGGCGTCCTGTGGAGACCACAGTGACAGGCAAATCCAGAACTGGATGCCGCCAACCATATACCCTAAAGGTTTCTATCGCCTTACTCGGTTCCCACGAAGAAGCTCATTTGATCTGAGTCTAGCGAAGTACGATCGGCCACACGAAGCTAACTTCAGTCGCATAACTTCGGCCAGTTGTGTAGAGGGTAGATCGGCTTCATCACCACGCTTTCAAAGCACTGAAACTGAACTAGACGTGATTGAGGCGATCGCTGGGGAAAATGTAAAGTTGGTTCATACTCCTGCCCTCCTACCTGGTTACCAAATCGACATCGCCTAGATGGTTACCTGAATCAGCCCTTGCGTTAGGAGGCATCGCATACTGTGATGCAGATCAGGGCTTCCTGCTCCACTACACCTCACAGTCACTCGACTGAGCTGAGCTTGTGACGTGAGTTCTAGTGCCCGACCTTGTTGACGTGGGTATCTAAACCATTGTTTATTAGCTGGAATGAACTTGCTTCCACAGCGCGCCACTCTCCGCGCAATGTGTGGTGGGTCAATCTGTCTTGACCACTCATGCTGTCAAAAGTGTAACGGTAGTAGAAATGAAACCAATAAAATTATGGTAGTCAAACGGGATTGTAAAGAATCATAACTTCGTTTGCTAATGCAGAAACGCCGCTGACCTCGCAACACATCCTATCCTGTTTACTTTCCAACCACTGATGTGGCCGAGCTAGAAAGATGGCCAGCGCCGACTATATTTCTCCATACACGTTTGCCAAGTCTGACTGACTTCAAAGTTTCACCCAACTGGGTACAGCATTGGCAGCCGGCCAGAAAGCATGCGGAGCGCATAACCGAACATCACCGGAATCTATTGGAACTCAAAAGCAGACGCTTCAGTGGGAAACTGGGGGTTACGTTACCAAACGTCAAACTATCGAATTAGGTATTTCTTAGCGTTCGCACCAGATACCAGCCACAATGAGCAGATAGCATTAGTGGAACACGGCTAGCCTCGTGATCTCTTCGGTTCACGGTGGCCATGTATCCGCTCCGTACTGTAACTGGCCGCATTGCAGCGTTATAGATCCTCCCTCAACCAACATGCCTATAAGCCATGACTCCGTACGCGATTTAGGCTTTTAAAAACACATGGGTCGGTGGCCGAGTGGTCTGTGCGCCTGGTTTGCAACCATAAGGTCACTGGTTCGAAACCGCTTAGGGGTGGGCGTCCTTGCGGTATACTCAGCCCTTACGCGACTGGTGGTGGTCGTGTGTCAGCGAAGCGCCGTTACGACGTACAGCTAGCAACTACGGAGGCAAGTAAACCGACCGTATCGATCCGGTCCTGTCATCGCAACTTGAATACGCATAGCTCAAGTCGAAGCGTGTGTCTCTACGTATCCACCCATTCGACAACGTCTAAATAGCTGCTATGTCGCCCGCGTGCTCCGATAGCCTGTCAGTCAGCATACTTAGCCTCTGTCAGAGCAGTCGTGGAAGGAGACTGAAGAGAGTGCTTCATGATCGTTTGGAGCACAAGCAACTTATAGAGTCGAAACTAACTTATCTGCTGAGCAAGCTCAGCAGCCATTCATATTGGGTCTTGAGACACTCCGCTTTTGTTCACGGTCCTGTTCCCAATTCAGATCAGCCCATAGTCCTCAGGACGGACAGCTCTTCTGTTCCTTACCATCCCAAAGTTGCCTGAGATTGATAGACAGTTGTCGCTCTTTGTTTCATTTTAGCATGGTATAAAGGGTTAACAGACATCTTGCATTTACTTGCCGAACATGATTGACACTAAATTGGGTTGTTTTGATAGACGGACATCATTCCTTTTTGATTTCTGACGATGATGAAATTCAACTAGTTTGTCCCAGCAGCCACCATCAATCCGCAAGTACACCAGCCGATTGTTTCGCCCTATTGAGGCTCGTCAGTGGTGCGCATTCCCTCGGTCTCCTTCAGGGAACCGAATCTTTGACTTCTAGCGGCTTGTGTCAATTAGCTAGCAGCTTATACCATTGAGCCATGATGAACGGTGGCAGACCGTCACAACTTGCAAGTCAACTGGGGTATAGCATTGCGATGAAGTTTGGTACCGTCGCAGAATAGTGGCTGGCATTAATGTACACACGGCATTTGAACAATGTGAGGACTTTTTTTATTACTAATGAGTAAGAGGATTTTTGATGAAATTTCGCTGGTTCGTATCAAGCGCTTCATAAATCAGCTCCGCTGCTGAAAAGCACCAGACGATCGTTTCGCCCTGCAGGGGATGACTTAGATCGCACACCTAAGACCCAGTGACTTACATGTGTGTTTCGAACCCGAACGCAGGCCCACTCAAATAGACAATATGGTGGTTATTATCAACAGTGCGACCATATTATTCCTTGTGTGCCCATATTCGTGCTGGACATGAACCTAATTCACACTTTCTTGTTGCAGCTGTGGGAATTGTATAAAGAACGTCGTCTCGTTCGCAGTTACATGGGACACCGTCAAGCAGTCCGCGACATCGACTTCAGCGGCAGTGGCACCAACTTCTTAAGCGCATCTTACGATCGTTATGTCAAGTTGTGGGATACCGAGACTGGAAAATGCACTAACCAGTTCAACTTGAAACGAGTTGCTTATTGTGTTCGATTCAACCCGGACGAGGACAAGCAGCACCTCTTCCTCGTTGGATGTGCGGACAAGAAAATACTCTGTGTGAGTTACCATTTTTGAGTTCAGAATGGGTTAAAACCACCGATTATTCATATCTGACGGTGGGTTCGAATTCAAGAAAGCCTGTATCATTCACCAACCTTTGAGTTGTACTCTACTTATTAGTTTTTTATTGTGACGTTAGAGGAGTCAACTATCTCGGGCCGAAACATCCCGTGGGGAATGTGGCTAACAAAATTCACTCACCATCCATTCTCATCCACCTAACCGCCGATATCATCCCCATCTGTCTTATTGCCTTTTGTGTTTCCGAGGGATAAGGACTGAACTTTAAGCACTGTGAGTTTGGTCACCATCCAACGCATCATGATCCCTCCGGCTGTTCTGTTCACCCAAACACTGGCCTCTGCATTTGCGCACATTACACATGTCCCAGTCACGTGTCTCAACATCACATGGTCAAGGAATGCCTGCAGTGTTATACGCCTTGCTTCTTGGGGTTTCATGATAAAAGCATACACGAAAATTGTGCAAACGAAAATATACATACACGGACGTACGCCAGTTCGATCGCTTGACACATTCTCGACAGTTACACATGCCAAAACACCCGTGATTCATTCAGATTCATTCAGTTTGCCGAAGCCTGAGCGATTCGGCATCTTGAATGCACTTGGTGTGCACAGATCGAGGTTGGTGACCGCGCCCCACTAAGTGGGACCCTGGCCGACATTATGACTCTTGATCGCCAGTATCTGATCATTGGTACTGCGCATGGAAGAATGCTCACACAGGAGAACGCTGACCCGTCTGGAGATTTCCCCGATTTGCATGAGTACAATGTGTAAAATGGTAATAGAACTTTATTCTTGTGAAGTGCACGCTGGCCCTTAGCACATCACAGCTGCATGTCAACTGCACCCACCACGTAGGCTTCGGTGCAGTTTTCCAGTGACCAGAACCAGGCTCATGATCACCGACGTCAGAATCGAATTAAAATTTTGTCACGAGTGACACTCGGGACGAGAAAACGAGTGATGTTCTTCTTTGTGGTGAAAATAGTGAGCAACAGCTGTGCGCTCTAAGCCATGGTTGGAATCCATTCATCATCAATCAGTCATGATTAACAACAGCAATACATCAGCCATTTGAACCGATGTTTCGCTACCATACAACCATAACAATCTAGAGAACGAAGAAGAATAAGAGGAAGGACGACTTACCGGAAAACCCTAATGCCCTAAGCAAACATTCAGAGTCAAGGCGCCTACACCTTGTCAACTACATACAATCACAGACAGCTTGTTATCGTGCAAAGATAAGGCGCTATCAGCGAGACAGCTTCCTTGAGGCTTTCACTGACACGTGTCATAATCAGCCACTAACCCACAGATAACTCAACACAAGCACATTTTAAACAGGCAGTCCGATTAGGAGACGGTATCAGACGTGTCACTGGTGCAGACTGCAAGCCATGTCCCGTACATTCTAGAGCCCAGCACAAGGCGAGTCACGTGGACTCCAGCCTGGTAGGCGAGACGGACCGACGGCACCAAGTTTGGTCGTCAGTGCCAAGTCAACCTTTATCCACCTCGAGCCTTGCGCCACTCTACATCTGGCAGACTAAACGAAGCCTTCCTAGGTAAGCGGCGACCGAGCATACGTTCCCAAGCCAACACAACTTATTCAGTGCTGTTGTTCTAAAGAACTAGCTAGAGTCCCACTTGTACGCCACGCGATAATTTCACGGATTGTATGTATACACCTGAGGAAGATACCCAAAATACCAGGATTCAGTGTATCGTGTGACAATGTTCTTTCTTCCTGCTATTTTGAAATTTGCAAAAGGAAAATCCTGCATCAGATGATCAAAGACTTGAAGATGTCTCAAATCTTCTGACCGAAGGGGCCAAGTCTCACTCTCATAGAGCATGACAGACCGTATAAACACAGCTTTTTAGACGGAGGGAAACCTCTTTTTGTCGTCAGTGATGTCGCAAATTCAAAAAAGCAATACATGAACTGACCTCGGTAGCTATGCACCAGTCGTTGCTGATGCAGCTGTCCAGGTAAGTGAATCGAGCAACCACCTCGAGTTCCTTGTTATTCAGAGTCAAGGGATGATCAAGTGGTTGGTGGTCCTGCAGCAACACTTTGCACATTGAAGGTGCAAAGCGCACACCAATAATGGGACCTCTCTAGTGAGGCTATTCAGCGTTGATTGGGCCACCCCAGCGTCGTCAAAAAGCAAGGCAATATCGTCCGCATAATCAAGATCAACTAACCTTTAACCAGGCAGCACTTCAACGCCTGCATACTAAAATTCCCTAAAGGAAAACTGCATGACGGAATTCACGACGAAATTGAACAAAAACGGGAAATTCGGACTAACCTGACGAACACCACTTGTTGTCGACAAGTCACCATAGACCCTGACGCGGCCTGAGTGTTCGAGTACAGAGCACATAAAGTGTTCACATATTTCTTGGGAACACCTTTCCGTGCAAGTATTTCGAACAGAATGCATCGATCGACTGACTCGAACGCACTCTTGAAGTGGAGGAACACAGTTATTGTCGGTCTTCGGTATGCGTAGCACTGATCTAGCACCTGCCGCAGAGTGAATATATGGTCTATACAGTCACGTCCTAGGTGGAAACTTGCCTGCTCTTGACGAGTCCGAGATTTCCGTTGCGCATTGAGGCGACGAACGAGAATCGAGGCCAGTAATTTTGTCACAACTAGCATTAGACTAATACCCCTGTGGTTAGCACAGTCGGTGCGACTGCCTTTCTTGTACATTGACACTAATCGTTTCATTCCAGTTGACGGAGATGGTCTATTCCCTTCAGATATATTGGAAAAGGGAGGTTAGTGCTTTGCAGAGGACATCACCATCATCCTTAAATAGTGAGAGTGCGACGGAATCCGGGCCAGCAGCAAGAAAAGGAGTGAGGACTGTGATCCGAAGTAGCCTCTAAAATAACCGTCCATGGCTCATGCTGCATCACATGAGTAGGAAGAGGTCCGGAAGCATGTGGCTAAGTGAACTGATCTTGAAAGTGTTCCGTCCAACAATCCATACGACGCTCCTTATTAGCAGGACACTTGTTTACGCACAATAAAAGCATGTCTCCTCATGATTCTATTCGTCTGAACTGATCATTTTCCCTTCCGCTATACAATGCCCATGTGAAAAATGCCCACTTTCACATCAATATGTCACGAAAATCACTGTTAATGAGGCATTCGTGTTGAAATAGGTGGTAATGTGGTATCCAAATACCAGATTATATAATAGGTTTATAGGATTTAATTACACGAGTATTGCCTGCTGATCTTCGCAACTAATTGATTCACAGTTTGTACACCGGCTGTTGCAGGCTTGCCTGTCTTCGCAGGTACTTCTTCTTGTCTACTGTCTGTTCATAATCTCGGACACAAGACGCGACCGCATGTTACAGCGCATCATATCTTTTATTCACCCCTGCCTGCCCACTGGCCTGTGACATGTCACGTTCCAATGCAGTACTTAAAACAGCGACAAGACGCTGGGATGACTGCAGTGAAATAATGAGTTTAAGACGTGGAATACTTCACAAAAGTTGATAGTTTTAAGAGACGGAACAAGGGCTACATCATAATGGTGTCACATTCGAAGTGGAAACTGTGTATCTCTGCCTGCTGTGACCGCGATGTATGTGGAGGAGTATGTGAGCACCGCATTATACGATTCTTTGTCTGAAAATGTGGTAGCGGGTTCATCAAAAATTTTTCTTACTTTACAGGCCGGGACGAAGATTACTCAGTCAGAGATGTGAGCTGCAGTTTTAATTTTTCTTCCTCTTCGAATGTATATCTCGGCCGATGCTGCTCACTTGCTTGATGAGTTTTTGACACAGGTGGTAATAGCCGCCTTCTATTTCAGCATCTGGCAAAGCAATTCTCGATGCGTTTATGGAAGGCAAGGCTAACCACGAAGGCGAGATGTTCCCACCAAGTGCGTTAGAACCGCCGAATCGCTGAGACTTCGACAAACTGGATTAGGCGAGCGGTGCTCTGTTTGTTGAGTAATCTGAATGAATCACGGGTGCTTTGGCACTTAGAGCTGTAAAGTATGTGCTAAGCGATCGGACAGGCATATGTTCATGTGCACAATTTTCCTGTGTGCTGTGTCTCAGTCACAGCTTCTTGGTATATTAATTTAGGGTTCCAGGTTTATGGCCTGCAACCACTGCATCCCGAATTGCAGCCCCCGTTCACGCCTGGGCTGCGCCGCAACTTCTGCACGATGGACTGCGATTGCATAGCAGCGAGGCATCAGTACAAATTGTCGAGCGGTTTAAGATTGGCAACACTTCTGCCTTGCGGTCCACGGCTCGAATCTGCGCGGGCGACTTCGTGGTATAGCTAAACCGCGCGCGACCGGCGCTGATGGTATGAGGTAGCAAAGCGGGCGGTACGATGTACCGATGTCCTACTAATGCTCTCTCCATCAATACAAAGTATTAGTGTACTGTTGATACCTCTACTCACCGGATGAGTGCCTTTTGAGCTGACTATGCAGTATCACTGCTGTGTCATGTTGACCAGCAATTTCAGCGCCATTGCTTGATGCTTTTACTGTTCGCCAAAACTCATGCGCTAACCTTTCGACCCCTCGTTCAACATTTGTTCGGCAGTTGGTTCTGTTTAGCTTGTTCTGCCACACTTACCCATAGCCGGTGCTCGCTTCAGTTGTGGACAACTTTAGGTTTTTCCATAAGCAATCGACTGAAACATGCCACTGATCCTACTTAAAGAAGGTTTCACCCAAATTCTGGGTTCCGATTGTTCGTAATATCTGCTTCCCTAATCGAATTGCCCACTTTCTTTGTCACCGCATATCAAGGACGCAAATTGCTAATCGCTGGCTTCCGTTTGTGCACTGCTTCCTCCATCATCGTCACCACCACTCCATTTCAGGTGCGACTTGCTTATATATATATATATATATATATATATATATATATATATATATATATATATATATATACATATATATATATATATATATTATACACAATCTGTGGTACAGATATTGTGCCATCGGAATCATGGCTGAATAGGAAAACAATATGAATAATAGGAAAAGAGCAACAAGAAATGCTTTTTTTTGTCAAGTTTACCACTCACAGATTTTGAAATTTTTTTTCAGTTTGTTCTTTTTTAGGGGGAGGAAGAAGGGACACCGCAACACACTGATGCACACGTCCCCCATTGACATCGATCTTGAGCCATAACTTCCAAGGTTTTCAACCAGCAAGTATCCTCATCTCTCGGACCCCAACCAGGTAGTCGACAACAACCGGCCGAGGCCAATTGTTTCGTCAACGTTTTCATGCGGCTTCTCCATGTTGTAGGCTGTCCACCAGACCGTCTCTTCCAGCCCTGTCCAGCAAGTGCAAACAACGCACGACGGGGGTAACGCTGGACAGGCATGCGCAATACGTGTCCCAACCACCGCAGTTGATGCAGTGAGATGGGCTCCTCGAGCGAGTGGCTTCCACGTCCCAAGACACGCTGTCTAACTTCCACATTGCTTACGTGGTGCTGCCACCACACACGGGCAATGGACCGCAGACAGCGGTGCTCGAAGACGGATAGCCTGCGCAAGTCATCTTTACGAATGGGCCAGGTCTCGCATCTGTACAACAGTACAGCACGAACAGTTGCACAATAGACCTGCCCTTTGATGGAGAGACGAATGTCGTGACGACGCCACAAATGCCTCAGCCTAGAAAAAGCGAGGCGTGCTCTCGAGATGCGCATCGAAATCTCGTCTCCAATAGCCCCGCCCATCGCTCCAACCGTCGTTGAAGGTTGGTGATTAAGGTGCCATCCGCTTCGCATATTGTTTCACTTATACCAGATCGAACACCTTCGGTGACTCGAAGGAGATGGAAGAGTTTCCTGGTATTACCACAGAGACTAGCAAGCTCCATCTCCCTGGCACGTCCACACCACCAAGCTTCGCGGTCCATTTGCAGACTCCTGCGCAACTCTCGACCAAGGTATTGGCGTTCTTCAACGTGTCTGGAATCCGATGGGATCAAGCGGCGTCTGTCCATCAGCGACAAGGAGTCGGCGGAAATCCAATGTTTCGGTGGGTGACGGGTAACTCCACAAGTGTCGATACTGGCGGAAACTAACGCATCTTTGATATGCGCCCACTGCGAATCGAGATCACCGTCAATAGTTGAGCCAAGCAAAGTTGACAGTGAGGCTTGGTACCTGGTTAAAACCGCAGCGTTTTGTAGATTCGCGACGTCCGGTCGGTAGTGGGCGCGCTTAGGTGATCCTCCGAAACGCATGCAAATCTTAGCACGAACCAATGCGTGATCAGTCTAGAAAAGTTGACCAGTACGATCGGCAGTCCGTTACGCTTCCGCGCCATCTGTAGCTGATTGCTATGTGGTCAAGCTGGGAGCACTCTTGCGTTTGTGAGGGCGGGCGCCAGGTAGCAGTCTGTCTCCTCGAGTGTCGAAAACTAGTGCTCGAAAGAAACAAGCGATGATCAGAGCAAAGAGCAAGTAGTCTGTCTCCATTGTCTGATCGACTGCCACCGAGACCAAAACTACCCCCAATGTTGTGCTCGCTTGGTAGAAGGCGGCCAACCCGTGCGTTAAAGTCCCCAGCAAGAATGACTATATCCGTCCTTTTGGAGGAACGCAGAAGTTCATGTAGTTGTTGGTAAAAGCTATCTTTAACTGCATCCGGGCTGCAGTCTGTAGGGGCGTAGGCGGAGACGACAAATAAGGCACGCTTAACATCTCGACGCCTGCTTACGTTACATGAACCTCTTAGTCTGACTGCACATAGTCGGCTGTTGACTGGGATCCAGTCAAGCAGAGCTGATTCAGCCCTGGCACTTAATACAACCCCAACACCAGCTTGACCTGTGGCGGCAGATTCTGGGTCTCCGGAAAGCCGCAAGTAGTATTTGGCGTCAGAGTTTACCGGAGAGGCCATTCTGATGACGGCGCTAGAGTCTTGTAATCTGGTCTCTGAAAGACAACAGATGTCTACCGATAGCGTTTCAAGAGTACGGGCCAGACATGCTTGTCGTCCGATCTGCATCAAAGTTCGAACATTAAACGCTGCGAGGATAAATGGAGAACCAGGTCGAAGAAGAGCTGGAGCTTCGGTGGAGTGAGAGGCGGTTGCGATCGCAGGACACTGAAAACCGGGAGTTTGGCTGTTACTTCCATCAGCTGCGAGACGTGGGTCGTTTGTGACGGTGACCGTAGAAGACACAAGAGGACATGTATGTGAAGGACGGGAGGTGGGGTGGTCTGTGAGTGGGCGTTGAGCGGTTGAGTTAAGACGGAAGAGCGGCATAGCAGTAGTAGTAGTGAGCGACTTGCTTAGGTATGAGAAGCTCCTGGATGTTGTATTTCCACTAACGGCACGGAAACCGACAGCTATTTTGAATACAGGATTGGCGGCCTACCAAATTAGAAGACAAATACCTTTAGGAACTCTTCAATGGAGCCCACAATTTACAGCATTGTTAACAGCCAAATGGCTCTAAGTATATAGTTTAACAAGACTGCTTCCAGAAGCCCGTAAACGTGCTCGTCGGCTGGTCCCAAGTACTGTCTTTGGCTGGCTCCAACGCATAAAAGCTCTCACTGACTGGATCCTGTCTGTTGGACTACAAACTGGGTTCTCCCGAACTTCTCCTAAGCGACTGGCACAGAAACGAGCTTGGAATGCTTCCATAAACGAGCCCCCTTAACGCTGAGTCGCCCTAGTGCACTGATTGTCAACAGCCTCTTAGAGTCGTGTCAGCTCAGAAATCCCAACAAACGGTTTTATTCCGATTTACTCCAACTACAATTGTAATCATAGTAATTGAGAGCGATGAACGAGAGTGTAAGTCGTCAAACGGAATACCCAATCGTTGGTATCATCAACAGCAACACTTCGCAATACTGTGCCCTTCTGTCATGCAAGAAGTGCCGATAGTATGCCAAAGCCTTCGTGGCTACGTCACCACTATCGGCTGTGTGTGATCTGGGGTTTTGCAATGGCGTCGCACCTACTCGGAACCAGACCGGCGAACCTTGGATCACAAGACAGACACTCGAACTAGTCCATCATATACAACTGAATTGTGAGGTGTTTCTAGTGCTAGGGTATAGAAGGAATAAAGAAGAGGCTAACGCGTGACTCGTATGTCCTAAGCAAACGTTTATAAACAAAGCGCTCTCATCTTGGGAGCACTAACAGCCGTGCGGACTTAAAGCAGCATAGGAGAGACCTTTCTGCAGGTTTCACTGTTTAATACCATAATCTTATCGCGCAGGTAACTCAGCATCATACAAAATCTAAGCACACGTTCCGCTAGAAAACGATAGCAAACACACCATTGGTGGCAGCTGTGATTCACGTTTTGTAGCGTCTTGCGCGAGGCACAAAAAGGCGTCTAATAAACCAATAGCGCATAACCGAGTGGTCAGCGAGTTTGTTTCCGAGTGTAAGGTCCTTGAACCTAAACCTCGCGCGAGCCAACTTTTTGTAACCACAAAAAGTGCTATTCTTGGCAAGTGGTGGTTAGTCAAATGGTAGAATCTGTAGTGGCCGGTATTACTGCCATCCATCTGCATTTTTGGTTTTGAAAAATGATGCTATTAACTACTTTGTCTTTCACTGCTTTTCAGTACGACACACGGAGCGGTGAGGTCGTCCAACAGTACGATCGTCATTTGGGCGCCGTGAACGCAGTGGCATTTGTTGATAACAACAGACGTTTCGTGTCCACCTCCGATGATAAATCTCTTCGCGTTTGGGAATGGGACATTCCGGTAGATTTCAAATATCTGGCAGATCCATCTCTACACTCCATGCCGGCGGTGACCGTCTCCCCTAATGGTAAGCTTCTCGATTCCCAAGCGCAACTGTCTGTACACCGTGTTTGAATCAATTCGCCCTTAGAGTTGACCGTTCAGACGCTAGTTTAACTCGAGGACCGTCTTCTTTCCTCATTATCCTACACCCACATCCGGACGCTACGGGACAAAAATCACCTCACGTTGCTGCCACCGCTGGTGCTTTGGAGGCAAGAAGCGTTGGCTGGATCGCACAGTTTCAAGCACCGAACTAGTTGACAATTCAGTGCTATAACTGTCAAGTCACCGGTCGGTCGCAGCCGCGTCACACTGTCTCCGGCTTTGCCATGGCAATTTCTTCGTAAAGTTTATGGTGCGCCATGTGAGCATATCATGCAGGGTCTCAGCAGTGAGTTGGCAACGTCCCTTGCGTTGGCGTAACACCTCAGATTGTCTCAGCATGGTTTTCTGTAGTATACTTGAAATCAAGTGAGAATAGACGGAGTCACTTGTTTGTCACTGACATATGCAATAGATGGTTGATGACCAAGCTGCCTATACGACTGCAGAACAGCGCAAGCCGGCAGCGATAGGTCCTGGTTCAACAAAAAGTTGACTCGCACTCTCTTATCACAAGGCACTGGTGGTCCTCGCTATTTCTAGAAGGAATTTGAAGTGACAGGTCGGTCCACTGTTTTGGCACTTTTGCATGACCAGACCGGTTCGTGTAAATGTCAAACACTAGAATTAGGGTACCTGCTTGCTTATTTAGGCGACTGTGATGATCTAGTCACCGTGTAGTTTACTGTGTGACCATTGAAACCAATAAAAATGAAAATGCTTGCCATTACTGAGCATTTGCGTCGCGTCCGACAACATGAACGAGCACAAAGTTTATCGAGCACGTGGCTGCTGTGAGGTCGGTGGCGCAGGACTTCCCGGTCTCTCATATATGACTTAAAGTCACCCTACCCAACGATTGTAACATTTATTGTCTGCTGCTCTTGAATTCATATATCTGATTTTCTCACTTTTAACTGGTTGTCGTTGTGGGCCAACGTAGTCAGACCCTCGCATTATGATACAGCAGTCGCAACTAGACTGGACCTTAACGTGGTGCGATGGCTTGAGTATCTCCTTAACCCATTTACCTATACTGGGTGGTGCCTCCGGTTCCCTTAAGAGCTACTCCTACCAGGTTGGTCAATAGTTAGAGGTCAGACAAACAGTCTTCTGGTCCCCCAGATTGAGGGTTTGAAACGAGATGGTGTCCATTTCTGTAAAAATAAACCATTGCCACATCCCCGCTGCACTGCGGACAGGTTTTTGAGCTAAAGGCTTTGGTTGAGGACCATAGCTCTGGGCACCCTGGCAGCATCTCAGCCCACATACAACCATGATAATTTCTCCAAACTAACTACATCCTGCATCGGCCGTCGCGCATATTTTCAATGGTCGCCTTATCTGCTGCATACAGCAGGGCGGATAAGCGGAAACATGCTACTGCTGGCGCCTCACTTCTTTCTTTTCCACTGTTTCTCTTCCATCCTGACCCCCATTACTAACCTTCTATAATTTCCAGCTTAATTGACAGCAACCGAAGTGCCACTGGAGTCACAGCATCTGCAGTCACCTAGCAACACCCACCGGACATCTATCGGCAACCGTTCCTTATAAGGCCACGCTGTCTCGTTTCCCGGGCGGCGTTCAACGTTCGCACTCTAAGACAAATAAGTCAACGGGCTACACTCGCACGCACGTTGGACACACTAAGATCAACGACCCTAATGGGGTTGCAGAATGGACAGCGCCCGGCTTGTCTTGCCGCTATTAGTTGCACGCATCCGGAGACGCTGATGCAGCGCTCACGGGTCAAGCTGGTGTAGGTATCATTCCCAGCTCGTTAGTTGATTGGGTTCCGTTGAACAGCCGTTTGTGTGCAGATCGCTTGAGGACACCAACTAAGATTGTTTCACGAAGTAGTACAAAACGTTGTTTATTTGTAACTTCCGCTTAGGCTCCCACCAACTGCAGTTCTGATGCTGCCAAGGACGCGTTCTACCACAAACTGAACGCGTTACTACGCAGTGCTACCAGCGCAGATATCATAGCACTTGCAGGGGATATGAACGCACAAGTAGGTCGCCTTGGCTCTTCGGAAACTTAGCTACGTGGTAATTATGTGCTTAACTCCGAACGGACTGACAACGGCGAGCGTCTGTTGCAACTGTGTGCGGAGCACCGGGAGGCACACCAAGCATCTCCCACGATTGGCGACGGGTAGCCTATTATGCCCGTTGTCGGCAGTCGTATTCATGGGTATGGTTGAATAAAAAGCAGATAATAAACTCGGCGACTCTGTATAAGCGTTGTATTGATGATATACTGCTGATTATGAATTCGAATGTGGACATTCAGCATGCGAACATGACACTCAACAAATTGCATCCGAACCTTACAGTGACACGTGATAGTGAGCAAGATAGCCTTATTATAGCCTTATTTAGATATATTGATTACACGGCGACCAGACGGTTCCATCAGGTCTGTATACAGGAAGCCAACCTGGACTGATCAGTAGCTGCAGTTTACGAGTTTCTCCCCTATTTAGCACGATCGCTCTCTGCACTCCTGATACCATAGAAGCAGAAAGGGATTTGCTTTTCAATACGCTACAATCCAACGGTCATCCGTTGCACTTCACCAAGCGTGTCAGTGAAGAAACCAAGCGAGATCGTGTGCCAACAGTTCCGTAGATCATCATCATCCTCATTATACACGTTAGCTAGAGGTGGGAAACACGTCAGCTACTGTGTCGCAATACATAAAAAAATTAGGCAGCAAGAAAAATTGAGATGTAAAATTATATTATGCTACGAAATGAGATCGTGGTTGGAGGGGGGGGCTAAAAGAGACTGGGTGGGATAAAGAAACTCACAGCAGGAACGCTACTGGAGTCGGTTCCTTGCCATATCAGCAAGTGTATCTAGGCAAACGTGTACATCGTCTTTTGGACCCCAACCAAGGAGCCAGGAAGCTCCAACCAAGGCCAGCTCCGAAGGTAGGGCCTTCATTCCTCTCGACCAAGTCATCGCATGGCCACCCCTCTCTTCTTTCATCCACTCCCCCGGCGAACAAACAACGCACGTCGCAGGAGTCGGTGGGCTGGCACGTGCAACACGTGACCGAGCCATCGGAGCCTGGTGCGTGAAATGACGGTGCTGAGCGGTTCAATTCTTATTCCTGTGCTATAAACAAGGCGTCGAACACGCTCGTTGCTCACGCGGGGTTCCCACTAGATGTGAGCCAAACTGTGAAGGCACCGATGGTCGAATGTAATTAGCCTCTTTATGTCTGCTGATCTCAGGGGCCAGGATTTACAACCGTACAGTAAGGTCAAACGTACCGCTGCATTGTACACTCTACCCTTCAGGGCAAAAGTGATTTCGCGCCGGCGCCATAGATGGCGAAGAGTAGCAAAAGCACTTCAAGCTTTTGCCATACGGTTCATGATCTCGTCTTCGATCTCAAGGACGCTGATACAACTTCCGTGGTTGAATTTTCGAACGACTTCTAGCTGGTCCCCATCAAGGGTCAGCGCATGATGCGATCCCTGCCAATGTTGGAGGAAAGCTTTGCAATTCGATGGTGCAAAGCAAAGCCCGAAGCGACTGACAGCTAGCGCTAATCTGTCCAGTGCAGCTTAGCACGTCTGGAAGCTGTCACAGATGAGGGCAATGTCGTCAGCATACTCCAAGTCAAGAAGTCGTTCTCCTGGGAGTAGCCCTGCAATTTCTAAGTCGTGTCCTGTAAATGACGTCGTCAGTATCGAAGTTGAAGAGGAAAGGTGACAGCGGGCATCATTGTCTCACACCGCTGGAGATATTGAAGGGCGGCGACAGCTTGCCGTAAGCCATCACACTGCCCGTGCTACGCGCGTATAATGCTCGGATAATATTTACATATTTCTCGGGAACACCTTTACTGAGTAGACAGTCCCAAAAGGCACATCGACCAACCGAATCGAGGGCACCTTTGATGTCAACGAACACGACTATGGTAGGCTGCCAATATGTGTGACGGTGCTCCAACAATTGACGCAAAGTGAAGACGTGGTCGATGCAACCACGAATTCGACGAAACCCGGCTTGCTCCTCACGAATCTGGCTTTCACAAGCGCCAGTCAGTCTGTGAAGGACTACAGTGGCAAATAATATGGAGACGATGGGGATCAGTCTGATTCCTCTATAGTTGCCGCATTCCGAGCGCGAGCCTCTTTTGAAGATGGGAACAATAGCGGAGCGGCTCCAGTCGGTAGGGATGGTTTCCTGCTCCCACAGTTTCACTAGTAATTCGTGTAAATCATCAACAAGAGCAGGGTCCCCGAATTTGGAGAGGGCTGGAGGAAGATCATTTGGTCTTGCGGCTTTATTCAACTTCCACAGTCCGATCTCGCGTTTGGCTTCTGAGCGAGGGCGGATTCAAAAGGACAGCCTCCGGAGCAGGGAGGTTACTGGCCAGTGAGAAATCCAATAATTCCGGCCGATTAAATTGCTGTTCAAAATGCTCAGCGCAACGCTCCTAACGTTTGGACAAATTGTGGATAGGCTGTCCACTCTCGTCACGTATAGTTTCACTAACACCAGGTCTCCTGCTGCCCGTTTCCCGTATCAGACGGAATAACTTGCAATGGTTACCAAAGGCAGCGGCTACTTTCATCTGACGCACGAATAGACCAGCAGGATTCGCGGTCTCTCTTCGGGCTAGCACGGAGTTTTGCGCGGAGCTCTTGGCGAGTTTCATTGTGTTCGCTTCCAACCGGAATGTGCCGGCGAGCATCTATAAGTTCCAGAGACCGCGAAGAGACCCAATGCCCATGTTGGCTATTAGACTTACCACATGAAGATTTGCCTGCTGCTAGTAAGGTCTGGTGAACATGCGACCGGTGACCTTCAAATGTCTCTGGGGAGCGCTTACTCAACTCGCATGTCAGCGTACTTTGATAGGCATTCAGAACAGCTGGCTTCGTCAGTTGCCTGGTGTCAGTGTACTCACAGCGTCACCGTGGGCATCCACATGTTAGCACATACAAGTGCATGGTCAGTGTCGACACATGTGCTCCAAATCGAGCGACAGTTCTGGATGCAGCCTCTCCAGTGGTAACTGATTGCAATGTGATCGATTTGCATCCAAGGCTGATGTGCGCCAATTCACCCTCCGGCAGGTACTGTGTCGGAAGTTAGTGCTCGCAAGAAATAAGCGAGCATCTTCACATAAATGAAGTAACCGCTCACTGTTATCATTACAGGAGCCTACACCGTGCTGGTCGCCCAGATGCATTTCATCAGTGGACAACTTTCCAACTTGTGCGTTCAGATCCCCCGCCAGCAATACAGTGTTCGTGCTTTTTCTGTGGTGAAGGAGCTCAGGAGTTGGCGGTAGAAGTTTTTTACCGAATCATCGCTACGATTTATGGGCGCCTAGGCAATAGACACTTAGTGGTCCCGCGCGACTTCGAAGCTTTGAACGAGCCAGCCAATCGGACCGCACACATCCGGCTACTGACTGGGATCCAATCAACCAGAGCAGCTTCAGCCCGGGGACTCAGGACAATGCCAGCACCAGCCTGGCCGGTGCTCGAAGCTGGATCGTCACCCGATAGACGCAATGAGAAAATACTGCTTGCGTCAGCTGAAGGGGATACTGAAGACGAAGAGTTCTAAGATGTCGCTTACCTTTATTTCTAACCGCTCGATATAAATTCACCTGTAGCTGCGGAGCTTGCTACGTTGGACGTACTACCCGAAGTTTAGGTGTCAGAGTCAATGAACACATCCCCAAGCGGTTACGTAGCCGAATGGTGTCTGTAACAAAGAAATCGGTTGAATCGGAAAACCGAGCTGCCTCGGCAGTCACGAAGCACTTGCTTACGACTGGCCACCGAGTCAATCCTGATGAGTCCTTCTATGTGTTACTGCGCGATCGGCGACTTCACATGCTTAAGCTATTAGAGGCCATCGTTATTGATCGCGAGCGACCGTCGCTGTGCATCTACAAACAGCTGACTGTGACTTTAAACCTATCGTGGTAGCGCAAATCAGGAGCTATATATGATCTCTTTGACATTGTTAGTTGTTCATTTACATATCATTGCTGCATGCTTTTGTGATTGATAAGAATGCACAAAATGGTGACGTCATCTCGCAATCTATGCCTTCTGATTTTTCTGTTCGGAACTGAGAAATTGTCTTAGCCCTCGGTCAGACAACTCTATCAAGATGCACTACGTACCGAACTTCCGCTGGCTTATCCTACTGACAGCTTCCGTAGAATAGGATCTCGGCCACCATGCACGATGCAGGAGCCTCTGCTTATGGCATTATCAATCGTCACCGCACCAGTCACTAGATATCTGAGAGGTCGGTGAAACTGTTGGAATTCATGAGAAAACTCCCAGCTGGCTATGACCACAATGAGAACAGACGGAATATTAGGCGCGAAATAAAGCAGAGCCTGTGTGCTAACAAGGAAGCCTGGTGCACCAGTAAGGCTCAAGAAATGGAGGAGGCAGGAGCAGTAGGCAATTATCGCAAGCTCCTCCAGCTGATCCGAACCACTGGTCCCAGAAATGCAGGCGTCTGTGAGACAATCAGAGACAATAAGGAGCGCCGTATGGCTCGCTGGGTGGAACACTTTCATGATCAATTCAGTTGGCCAACTGCTCGCGGACCTCTTCCTACTCAGGTGATGCAGGATGAGCCATGGACGGTTGCTTTAGAGGCTGAGGTCCGAAACGCGATCACAGCCCTCACTCTTTTTCGTGCTGCTGGCTCAGATTCCGTCGCACGTTCACTATTTAAAGATGGTGGTGATGTCCTCTGCAAAGCACTAGTCTCCCTTTTCCAACATGTCTGAAGGGAAGAGACCATCTCCGTCAACTGGAATGAAACGATTAGTATCAATGTACAAGAAGGGCAGTCGCACCGACTGTGCTAACCACAGGGGTATTAGCCCAACGCTAGTTGTGACAAAATCACTGGCTTCGATTTTCGTTCGTCGCCTCACTGTGGAACGGAAATCTCGGTCTCGTCAAGATCAGACAAGTTTCCGCCCAGGACGTGACTGTATGAACCGTACATACACTCTGCGGCAAGTGCTAGAGCAGCGCCACGCATACCGAAGACCGACATTAACTGTGTTCCTCCACTTCAAGAGTGCGTTAGAGTCAGTCGATCGATGCATTCTGTTCGAAATACTTGCACGGAAAGGTGTTCCCACGAAATATATGAACATCCTACCTGCTCTATCTCGCACATTACATGCCGCGTCAGGGTCTACGTTGGCCTATCGGATAGCTTTGCGACCACAAGTGGCGTTCGTCGGGTTTGTCCGATTTCCCCGTTTTTGTTCAGTTTCGTCGTGGACTCCATAATGCAGTTTTCCCTTATGGAATTTTAGGATGCAGGCGTTGAAGTGCTGCCTGGTTAAAGGTTAGTTGATCTTGATTACGCGGACAATATTGTCTTGCTTTTCGACGATGCTGGGGCGGCGCAGTCAAGTTTGAATAGCCTCACTAGAGGTCCCATTATTGGTATGCGCTTCGCACTTTCAAAGTGCGAACTACTACTACAGGACTATCAACCACTTGATGACGAGGAACTCGAGGTGGTTGATCGATTCATTTACCTTGGGCAGCTGCATCTTCAACGATGGGCGCGTAGAAACTGAAGTCCCTTCACTCGTTGAGCCTGCGGCATCTTTGGCGACAGGAGAAAGATTCCCTCCGTCTAAAACGCCGTGTTTACTAGTCAACAGCGAGGGCTGTCGTGCTCTATGGGTGTGAGACTTGGCCCCTTCGGTCTGAAAATCTGAGGCGCCTTCAAGTATTTGATCATCGTTGCCTGCGGAGCGTTGCTGATGCCGGGTGGCACCAGCGTTTCCGTAACGATGATGTGCGTAGGCAAGTACTAGACAAGCTAGTTCTCTAGAACAACAGTCAGCAATGAGTAAATTGCGTTGGGTTGGGCACGTTCTACCTATGGCTGGTCACCGCTTACTTAGCAGAGCCTTGTTTAGTCTTCCGGGTGTAGGGTGGCGCAAGACTCGAGGTGGCAGAGGGAAATAAAGTCACTAACGACTAAACTAGGTGCCGTTGATCCGTCTCGCCTTCCGGGCTGGAGTCCACTTGACCCGCCTTGTGCTTGTCTCGAGACTTTACTGGACATGGCTCGCAGCCGACACCAGTGGCTCGTCTGCTGCTGTCTCCTAATCGGATTGCCCGTTTACATTGTGTTTGGTGCTGAGTTATTTGTGGGGTAATGGCTGATTATGACGCGGAGCAGTGAAAGCAATAAGGAAGCTGTCTCGCTGATGCCGCCTTGTCTTTGCACAATAGCCAGCTGTTTGTGATGACATGTTGTTGACAAGGTGCAGGCGCCTTGACCCTGAGTGTTTGCTTAAGGCATCAAAGTTTTCCGATAAGTCCCCCTTCTCTGTCTTTTATTATTCTTCATTCCATAGGTCATAATAGTTGTATGACAGCGAACCATTAGTTCAAATGACTGGTGTATTGCTGTTTGTGAAGACGATGGTGATTGTGATACAGGAACCAACCGGACTAAGCGATATTGAGTAGCGGACGCGCCTTCAGATTTCTACCATCAATCAGTCACCTAAGTGGCCGATCGATCCACACTCTTTCCGGTGATTGTGTAACCTTTTGTGGTCAAATCATTGGGGGGGGGACTACTTCATATATCAGCAAAGTCCGTGTGGCCTTCTAAGGTTTCAGTCACCTGCGGAGACGACGGAATGTCAATCTGTCAATCAAAGGTAGGGTGTGCAATGCAGCGGATAACTCTTCATGGATCTGATGCCTGATAAGCTCGTACTGAAGACTTTAAAGGACTGGTCGTATTTGACCACCGGTGCTTACGGAGTATTGCTGATATCTGACGAGAACACCGATTGAGCAATAATGAAGTCTACCAGTTAGTGTTTGGCAAGAAACCTTCTAGTGTCTTCCTGTAGTATCTGTCAAAGTCGGACCGCTTACGTTGGCTAGGTCCTGTCCTCCGTATGCTCATCGGCCACCTTCCTCGGCGTGCAGTATAATCTGTCGCCGCACCAAGTTGGGTGGGACTGCGAGGTGGCTAACCGATAACGTGGAATAATGAAATTAACTGAGAGACTTTGTCAGTCTGATGCTTGCTATCTTCGTAGATGGGCGACGTCAGTAGTTGGAAACCCCATCAGTTGCACCCCAATGTTCGGTTTCTTGCATCTGGTTGTTAATATTCTATCATCACCCATGTTATCCACTTTTCCCTAATCCTCTTTGTAATCCGTTTGCATTCACCTTTTTCCTCGCCACCGTTATCTATTGTTATCATGATAACACCAGTCCTGTTGATTGGGCCCACTGCAATTCGGCGTCCAGAGCATAGTTTCCTTAACTGAGCTGAAAACCTGTTCATCTGTTTTTTTTATCACAGGTAAATATCTTCTATGCCAATCCTTGGACAATCAACTGGTCGTATTCAACGTGTTCGCCGGATTCAAGCGTATGCGGAAAAAGATCTTCCGTGGACACATGGTCTCCGGGTATGCGTGCACGGTAGACATGTCACCCGACCAGCGCTACATCGTATCCGGTGATGGTGACGGTTTCTTGTGCCTATGGGAATGGAAGTCGACGCGACTGCTCACCAAATGGAAAGCACACGAGGGAGTCTGTATCAATTGTGCTTGGCTACCGCACGAGACATCCAAGGTTGTCACAGCTGGTTGGGATGGGAATATCAAGCTTTGGGATTAGTCAAGACCCTGGCGATCATCGACATTGCTCTTGTACAGTAGAGTTGGTTGTCTGAATTACTTACCACTCTTGTAAATACATCTAGAACGAATTTATGATCCGTGTTCATCGCTGCGTCACATGTATGTTTGCGTAAATCACCGCCCGAATCTTATCGTCCAGAAGCAACAGACCGCGTTTGACAAAAGTGTACAAATCGGTACCAACCGTGTTTTGGCTTCTCGACCATACGTTAGTGAACAAACTGATAGGATTTGATCTGTCGACAAGGTACTTGTGCGTCCCCAGCGTCGTTAGATAAATTGGTGCCAACTCCGCCTTTCGCCCTCCCACTTATAGCGTGCACTCTGAAAGGTTTCACAAGGCTGAATCCTAACATAATGTGACGATGTGCTGCAAATCTTTCGAACATACTGAAGTCTGTCTCGCTAGATTGGTCTATAGGAGCCGGAATGCAGCGTCATAGGAAACAGTCGGAAAGGAAAACTCAGTATTCCCAAAGATGTATTTACAGTTTCCAAAAAGTACCGAAAGGATAAAGAACCTTACAGCTACGATCCTATCGGCACAACAGTAACGTTGTTGTGTGGCAACTCTGTTTTAAAAACTGATCAATGTAGGCAATAGAAAAAATAGGCTATAGCAGGCTTGATGCTGTTTGTTTTACGAATATTCATGTATGTGAAATAGCGTTACCACATGTCAGTAGATAGAAATAGGATAAACTCAGTCTTCTGGTCTTCCAGTTTGGAGCCAGAAATTGGGTGGCACACATTTCATGATCGCGGACTTTTGCCGTATTCCCGCTTTGGATTAGGACCCTAATCATCCTTCCTAGGTTTGGGCACCGTGACAGTATTTCAGCCAACTGGAAGGCGACTTTCATGCTGGTAAAGCGCCAGTATAAGCTGCTGAGGCATTGCAGTTGCTCGCTTGGCTGTCTTATCCATCCTCGGCAGGTCGTTTACGTCAGATCGTGGCTGATGGTAAAAAATGGCATCAGCAGTACGTCGGTACGCAATACCGAAGCTTCGCTGCCGCGCAGCCATACCAGTCGCATGTGGGCTAAGGATACTACGAAGATCACCCGGTCCCTACACAGGCTCGAACACGCGACCTCGGGATTACAAGGCAGGATTGTGATCCTTAAGACTACGGGTCGACGATAAAGTGCGGAGCGTCCGCTAGTTTCCTCCACTTCCCATACTTTTGTCACCCACATGATTTGACTGATTTCACCATCTGACAAAATAGTTGGAGGAGCTTTCATTGTATCGGTGTGAATTTCCGTTTGAGTGCTTTGAAGCCTGGCTGCTTTATTACCTACCCAGCTAGGCAAGATTAAGCCATCTTCTCGCGATGGTAATGCATTCGTAGTCTCCCAGATTTGTATGGTTTGATCTCGTATACTAGTGTATAAAATTATCTGCATACAGAATTAAGATCGATTATTGTCGCCAAGGTAGTTCGAATCCCCACTTATCGTGTGCTCCGCTGAGATCTCCGATACTTCGACGTTTACATTTGGTCATAGAAAAGAACAACTACTCTTGCTGATAAATGTTTGATGTTCCCCGCTTAAACGACACTGCACTCAACGACCGGTCTTTTCTGGTAGAGATAGCAAGACTGCGAACCAAACCCGGGGCATTTGGGATGTCAGCCGAGGCCTTCACTCCCCCTCCCCATGGCATAAAGGATCACAAGCCTGCCTTGTAATCGGAGGGCGCGGTTTCGAGCCTGCGTAGGTAACCGGGAGGCCGTCGCAGTATTCTTAGTGGTGGCTGCGCGGCGGCGAAGCGTCGGTACTGCGTGCCGGTGAACTGCTGACAACTTTTTTCTACTCCTAAGTCACCAAGTCGTGGCAAGCAACGCTTGTCACAACGATTAGCGGCTCATTTGTGTTTAAATCTTCTCACTAAACGCGATTACGGAATTGGCACTTTACTGCTCCACAAAACTTCTAGTTCAACCGAAAAGTAGAATGCCAATGATCTTGACAAAATAACGCTAATCACCGTCAACAAAACTGTATAACTGCCGCGGACCCTGGCTGTATTTATAGGTCTCTTATTGACCTTCAGCTTCTGGAATTGTAAGGTCAACTACCAAGGTTAGTGGTTCCCCACAGATTTAGTCGAGATGTCAGGTGGTTGGTGGTCACGTGCAGAACTTAGAACATTCCCGAACGTTCGAAGTTGATGCGATAATCGTTATTAATCGTTTAAGCAGCGGACTTTCCAGGCAATTCTTACTTTCCTCCTGAGATATTGTCCGAGGTATACGATGAAAGCCTTGGATTAACTTGCAGTCTTCGGGACGGTGTTCTTTGCCTGACAGTCCATCTCCTTGGCAGAAGTGCCCGAGAACTGGGTTCTGATGTCCGTGGTCTGGATTCCTTGCTCGACTGTGAGCGGTCGTCCACGGCTACCTTTGGCAAGTTGAAGCTATCCACCAGTAAGTCGAGCGGTAGGCCCTGCTTGTTCTGGTTAGCACAGTGTTGTCCGTAACTGGTTCAGGTCAAGTCAAGTCTAAAACAGTGGGTCCCCTTCAGCCATTTCGTCAGAGCAGTGAGAAGACATAAGTTGCGATATGTTAACATTTCGATTGTTCTCTTCAGTCGCAAACACAATACAAGCGGGACTAATGAACAGTTATATATAGGGGGAAAAGTTGGCACACCAATCAAAATGTAAAAATCAAGACCACGGTAAGCTAATTGAATGTCTTAATAGTTTCTGTGCACACAACACAGGTTGATAAGCCCTAATTAGCAAAGCCTCGCTAATTGCCAAGATAATCGGATTGTTGTTGCGCAATAACACCTTGAACGCAGTATCCGGGTTCACCTGATGTCGGGTTGCCAAGAGATGCTTGGTGATAGATGATGCGGGACTCCTGTTCCTCCTCGGATTCACTCCGTCTTGTTGCGTCATCAGTTGCTCCAACCACCTCGGTACATGTTCAGCTACCCTCTGAGCTAACTGACGGTCAGTCCTGCCTATGTAAATGTCACCGCAACCGCAAGTGAACTGGTAAACGACGTGAGAGGCCGAACTGACTGATGAGTTGCTCTGACGGTCATGAAGAACAAGGCTTCGTGTTGTATGTATGAGTCGCAACTGAGCGGTCGCGTAGGTGCGCGTAAGGGCGGACCGGAGTTTATGTCCGATATCATTCGATACATGGTCTCCTTTGAACGGCAAGAACAAGTAAACATTCTTTTTCTCCGCGGTTAACACCGGTATTTTCTCCTTGGGAGGCCTGCTGTGGATCTGAATGAACTTCTCAAGATACCCATTTGACACCAAGGTTTTGAACAAAAAGTCTTCTTCAGCTTGCAACATTTCGGGGCTGCATATCCGTCTTGCTCTGTAGAAAAGCGTTTTCACTAGGCCACGTTTGTATGCGACCGGGGCAAAGCTGGAAAAGTGGAGGTACTGCCCGCTCCAAGTGGCCTTGCGATGAACCGTGCGCTGTAGTGTACCATCGGTCCGTCTCTTAATGAGTACGTCCAAAAATGGCAGACTATTTTGTTGCTCCAACTCATGGGACACCGATAGATTCGGATGAATTGAATTCAGAACTGTCAATAGCCGCGCAAAATGTTCGTTGCTGGTGAAGACTAGGATGTCGTCCACATACCGCTTGTACAACGTAGCTTCACCAATGCTGGCAGTACCTTGTCTTTCTACCAGGCCGAGAAAAATATCTGCTAATACTGGTCCAAGAGGGCTACCCATGGCGACGCCGTCGACCTGTTTATAAGCAGTGCCCTCAAACTCGAACCGTATATTTTCTGTGCATAGTAGAATCATATCCCTCAAATACTCCAACGGCAGGCCAACATACATGTTTTGACTCGCAATGAAATCACACAAATTGTCAACTGTCTCACGCAGAGGCACGTTTGTGAATAGGGAGTCGACGTCTATTGAGTACATGTGCTCCGCACCCAGCGACATGTGTTCCACTGTCTCTACTAATTCAAAGGAATCCTTTAGGCAATACGTGGCCAGGAGTTTGCGTACCGGCTCCAACATTTTCGCTAGCCACCGCGCAACGTTGTGGTATGGTGAGTTGTTCATACACATAATCGGGCGCAGTGGGTTCCCTGCCTTGTGTAATTTGGGAGCGCCCCTCATTCTGGGTGTCTGAGTGCCGGTCGGTTTCAACCGCCTGTATTGCGAGTCACTGATGTAACCATGTAGTAAAAGAATCCGCAGTTTCCTCGCCACTTGCTTCTCGACCAAGATGTTGTTTTCTGGTGTATATAACTTTGTGCCCAAAAGGGTGCGTTTTTAGCATTTACATTATCAACTGTAAATTTAAATGGGTATGAAATTGAGGATTCACTGTCATTGACCGACCAAGAAACGATTCCAAAAGCTGGACTAAATCTTCGGAATTTGTATAAATTGAAAACGAAAAAAGTTTCATGAAACTGTTTCTATAAATTTCATTTCAGTTAACGTAGAATTTTGTGTCCAAAGACAATAGATCGCGGATCGTGCGCGATATCTGGCGTGTATGTTCAAAGTTGGATGGAGTAAAGTGCTTCAGTGGCCTTGAAGTTGTCTGAACAAAATATTTGTCAGCGTACTCGTGCACTAATGATATATACAGTAGCTAATGTGAAAATAATGTTCGACGAAAAGACAACGGCAACGTCATACATGACCTTACCGCGCTTGTTTTTGACTGTCACTGGCGTCCACTTCGCATGGCATTCCCGATAGTTACGTACTGGCACTTTCTATCCAAGTGTAAACGATCGTTCCTTTGCTCCATTCTGCGGTTTCTTTCACCAACAGAGGATGGTGTCGAAAAGCATGCGGAGCTTCCGGTTCAACATAGCCTGTGCTGGAGAAATTCCGTCCGGCGCTTGTGGATTCGGTGTTGATCGGTAGAGGAAAAGGAACTGGCCAACCACCTCCATACGTCCTACCCCTTTTGATTTGTAGAGAGCTCGCTTGAACGTATCGACAAACCTTTCCGCTTGGCTGTGGGTGAGACGGCGGCGGGCGAATCTGCCGGACGACGAACTGATTGCAGAACTCCGTAAAAGCTACCGAAGTGGATTGTGTGCCATTGTCAGTTACAATTGTCTCCGGACGACCGAATCTGCTGAAGGTTTAGTCCAGTCTGGATACAGTGCCATTGGTGGTTGTGCTATCCATGAGAAATACTTCAGGCCACTTGCCGTATGAGTCGACGATAATGAGGTAACTTCGGCCGTTGATCGGTCCTGCGAAGTCGACATGAATGCGGCCTTATGGTTTAGTAGCTTTTGGCCATGAATAGAGCTTTGCTTTTGTGGTGCTTTCAAAACATTGGCGTACTTTGGCAGCGTTTAGCTATTTCTTCTAGCTGTTTGTCCTTGAAGGACCAGTATGCATAACTGCGGGCAAGCGCCTTCATCCGGTTGATCTCAGGATACTCGGCGTGAAGTGCCGCATAACGCACTCCTGAAGGGCCTTGGGAATGACCACTCTTTCCGAAAATAGTATGCAATCGTTTACAATAGAGAGCGAGTGTCTCTTCTGAAAGTACTATTGCAACACGGTAGATGGACATAAACGAGGCCAACTTGTTTTGTGAAACTGTGTAACTTTCTTGAGTACTGAGTCCCGAAGCGTTTCGGTTCGTAAAGCTTCTGCGGTAACTGGTAGACCGTGCAATGCATCAGTTACCAGAAAGTTGACGTCAGGTTCGATCTCGACCAAGGCAATGATTGCGTCCTCATGTTCTTGCTGGTGGGCATTAGACGTGCCAATGCATCTGTTTGGCCAACAGAAATTGTCGAATGGCAGTGGATCTCGAAATCATACCCCATTAAAGTAAGAGCCCAACATTGTATCCGGTTAGCTGCGTAAGCCGGGATGCCTTTTTCGTACCAAAGATAACCAGCAAGGGCTTGTGATCTGTCAGAAGCTTGAAACGGCGGCCGTACAGCATTTTGTGGCATTTCTTAACCGCGAACACAATGGCTAATGCTTCTTTCTCAATCTGGCTATAATTCCTCTCGGCCTTCGTAAGTGTTCTGGCGACATGAGCGATTGCTTTCTGAGATCCATCGGAGTACGTGTGTGAAATTATTGCGCCAGTCTCATGGCCTGATGCATCTGTGGTTAGGATCAAAATGAGTCAAAAGCAAGTTTGAGGATAACAATGTATTGACCCGTTCGAAGGCATTCTGATGTCTAGTTCCAAGTCTGGCCTTTGGCTAGTAGCTTGTTAAGCAGGGCAAGCAAACAGTGCATCTCAGGCAAGAATGCGCTATAGCGGCTGATGAGCCCACAAAAGGAACGTAAGAATTGTAGACCTGTTGGTGGAAGCATTTTTCTAATGGCTTTTATGTTTTCCGAATCTTGTCGACGTCCATCCTTTTCAAACATAAAACCGAGGTATTTGATGATTGGCGTGAAAATGTGTATTTATCCTCACGGGCCCGGAAACCGTACGATTGTATACAACTAAGCACTTCATCCAGGCGGTTAAATAAATTTTCTGGTGTTCGACTCATCACTAGGGTATCATCCAGATATGCAGCGGCTCCAGAAACGCCCGCTAGCATGGTATCCATCAACTGTTGGAAAATGGCTGGCGCCGTTTTTACACCAAAGGGCAAGCGATTGTATTGGGGTAGCACACAATGATTGTTGATCGTCAACAACTCTCTCGAGACTTCGTCAAGATCCACTTGAAGGTAGACATCGGACAGATCAAGCTTAGTAAAGCACTTACCAACATTCAGTTTTTCAAAGCTATCTTCCGGTACGGGTAATGGTGATCGTCCAGCGCGGCGTTAAGGTCAGTTGAGAAGTCAGCGTAAACGCGTACCTAGCCATTTGCCTTCTTCACTGCGAAAATAGGTGCGGCCCATGACGGCTGAGAGGACTCCAGCTCGTCCCAGTCGATCGAGTTCTTGATCAACGGTTGACATAGCTGCATATGGTACCAGTCTTTTAGCCTTAACCACTGGTTTAGCATCTGGTGGCAAGCTTACCGTTACCTTGAATTTCGTACAATGGGCCAAGCCATCCTGAAAGACAGGTAAATTTTCGCCTCAGCGAATGTGTCATTTCTTTGACGGACTTTGATGATGGGGCTGGACATGCTCAAACTCAATTGCAGATCTGATTCGAGGGAAATCGAGGAGTTGCAACTTTTCAATCCAGTCGAGACCAAGATTCAAATTCAGCCGATCTGAGATGTAGCACGTTTCCGACTCTTTCACACCTTTGAAAGCAATCTTGCAAGTAAGTTCGCCCACTAAGTTTAATACAACGCCGGATGAATTATGTGCAACTTTCTGAGACACGACCATTTTGGTCTCTTTATGCGATTCCACGTGTTTCTGTAAATAATCATGATGTCCGAATTGCTGTTTCCTTGGGATCCCATGAACCAACACGCTGATAAATCGTCGTCTCGGTTTATATTCACTTTGGAATGCGGCAACTATGGACAGAAACTTTGCGCCATCCTTCCTAGAATTCCTCTTTCGATAGGATTTATTCACGTTCTTCGGCCGAACCTGACGGCAGAACTCCTCTTTACGGCCACTTTTAAAGCACTTTTCACAAATGTGACGTTTGAACGGGCAAAAGCGTACGGAATGCCATTCGCCGCCTGACCAGCATGCTGCGGCCGGTTTGTTCGTAGACCTCTTGAACGGTTTGCTTAAGTTGCCAGTACTGGCCTTTTTCATGAAGTGCGCGGTATCTGGTGATGCGAGACCATTCCGTTCGATCAGGGCAATGTCGTGTTTAAGAGTGAGCAGCCGGTTGCATTCGCTTACGAGGGCCTTCAGTGTCAGAGCAAAATCCTGGTCCAGCTTAGCTAAAAGCCGCGGATCTCAGCATCACTGGGCGATTGTAGAGCGCTGAGGAAAATGAGACACTTAAACTGATCGTCCGTTAAAGAGCGTAGTTGAATCGCTCATATTCACGGTTAATCATGTCTGCTAGGGCCCCAAAGTATTCCGATTCCCGTTTGACAATTTTCAGGCACTGATAGCGTATACTAAACAAGGGTACTAACTCACCAAAAATTTCATTCAACTGCGAAACTACTTCATCAAACGTCAGACCCTTCGGTTGTTTGGGCAGAATGTGGTCTATTAACCTTGAATGTTCACTTGTTCCGAGCTTGCGGAGTAGCAATCGCACCTTCCAAGAGTCGTCCTGACGAATGAAGTCGTCCGGAACATGTCTTCCCAGCGCTTGAATCACGCTTCGAATGTGCATCCAGAATCCGCGTCATAACTGAATTCAGTGATTGGTAGGAGAACTGCACCCCAAGACATCTTCAAAATATTTCCATCTAATGAATGTTGTTGATGGTATGCAGAGAACTTGCGACATGGAAAGAGAATAAAAAGGGTGAAAGGATCGCGCCCTGCAAAACACCACAGTCAGCGCAGAGCATAGAGAAGCTTTTGCCGTTTAACTTGGTAAAGTGCGTACGATCAGTGAAATAGTCACGCAACAAATTACAAACATCAGGGTGGACTCCGTTCAAATAAAGTAGGTTGAGTAGAACTGGTCGATCAAGACTCGCAAACGCATTTGAATAGTCAAGAAAAAGAATTTGTGCGGACCTGCACTTTTAGCTAGCGCAGAGGCTATTTAATGCACAAAGTATGAGACAGCATCAAGCGTGGAGCGCTGGAGTCGAAACCCAAATCGGTAGACATCATCAGCATAAGTGGCTGTGGAAATCCGTGGAACTAGCAGTTTTTCGAGGACTATTAAGAGCACGAGAGTACAAGCAATAGGCCGATATTTGTGAGGTAACTTTTTATGAATTGGCGTTATTCTAGCTGACCCCCAAATGTCGGGAATGGCACCGGTCGTAAGGCACTTGTTAAAAATATCAGTCAGGGAATCGGAGCACTGCTTCAAAACCACCGGTAATAAGCCATCAGGGCCATTAGCTTTATTTGTATTTAGCTTCTTATGTTCGCTGTTGACGTCAACTTGATCAAATAAGACGGTTAGATATGAGCTAGTGAAAGAGGGTAGTGGAAAAGCGTTCAACGGAGGGGAACTAAACTCAGAATTAAGTTTGTCAACATTCACGATTCCAGTATCTCTGATGGTACTTCTAACAAAGATTTGCTTCAATAGCCTGCAGCGATCACCGCACTTAGGGTTTCCCAGTACGTTTCAATGTATAAACTGTTTAATTTTGCTATTTCAGATTTAATTGCTAAAGTCAGACTTTTGACTCAGGCTTGTCTTGCAATCCGCAAAAAGTTCTCCACCCTGACACCTAGTTCTGCATGTGTTGATCGGGCTTTAACCGGCATCCGCGTAGACGAGCTGCTGTCTGTTCAAAATCACTCTAAGTAAACACTAATCGACCAATCTCATTCCGTATTGATGTTCATTGGGTGTTCTAGAAAGTCAATTCCATCTAACACGGAATCCTCGTGTTTCAGCACTCAGTTTGAAACCGGCCGGTCACATATTCCATTTTCTTATGGCGGTGGATGTGATCAATGCTCAGCAGTGGCTAAGATCAATACAGACTGTATTTTGAATACGAGAGTCAAAATCCATACCGGTAGTAAGCCAGGAATAAAATCATATACATTACCAAGTGAGTTTAATACTTCTTTACATAATCTCTTCGAAATGGCGCTTAACCATCATAAGGGCTTTGTGTCGATGTGAAATGGAATTTTTGGTCTCCTTTTCCATCTCGGCGTAAGTCATCTCGAACCCAATTGGTTGGAACACAGGATCCCATCCAAAGTCCAATGGGCCCCTGGGAGGCACAATGTGCCCACATGTGCGGCCTGTGAACAAGCTCACGGGTGCTCCTCGGGCAGGACAGAAAGCAAAAGTGCAAACAGCACATGCGTGTTTGTCCTCAAAATCTGCCAAAAGACGAAAAAGACCTGTGGAAGAATGGAGGAAAAGTGACTCGCGTAAGTACATGCCAGAACTTAGGCTGTGCTCCAGTAAATTGGTTAAAGCAGTAAATCTATCGATAAAAGTTGGAAGGTAAAGAGATAACCACCGGTTCAATTAACGTAGGCAATTATGGTCCGGATACCGAAATGCCATAATAGTGATTAACAACAACAAAGGAAATTGCATCAGCAGCACGTCGTGCTGACGCTTCGCTGTCGCGCGACCAACACTGGACGCACGCGGGATACAGACATTGCGAGTTAGGCTATATCTACGCAGATTATAGCCGAATATTCTTTGTTACAGGGCAGACGCTTTATTCCTTTGGTCACCGGTGGACTGTGACAACAATAGGGGAAAGTGGATGGAAGAAACACATGGGAAAAAGATAATATACGATAGAAAGGTCAATAGACTGCAGCAATGTAGAGGATCAGTCGCAACGAGACTGGATCCTACGTACCTCTTCGACCAGTTGGACTATACTAGCTGGTGCCCCCGGGCCCTTGGAGAGCTACTACTACCAGGTTGGTCATTGGTTAGAAGTCAGACAAACACAGTCTCCAGGTCGTGGGTTGGAAATGGGACGGCGGCCACTTCTGCAAAGCCATATCAATACCATCTCCCCGCTGTCTTGTGGACAGGCTTTTGAGCCAAAGGCTTTGGTTGAGGACCCTAATCGTCCTCCTGTCTAGGTTCGGGAGCCCTTGCAGTATCTGAGCCCATGTACAACTATGATTACTTCCTCAAACATCAACCACATCCTGCATCCGCCATCGCGCAGATTATCAAGAGTCGCCTTATCTGCTGCATACAATAGAGCAGATAAGCGAAATTATGCTTCTTTCCTTTCCACCTGCTTCTCTTACTCTCCGCACGACGCACATTACTAATACTCCTCCTATATTTCCCAACTTAACTGGTAAAAGTTACAACGCCATTTGTAGCTAGCTTCCCGCATCACCCACTGAACGCCTATCGGCAACAATTTCTTATAAGGCCAAACTATTCCGTTTCCCTGGCGGTGTTCAACGTTCTCACTCTAAGAAAATAGATCAACAGGCAGCATACGCACGCACGTTGGACACTCTGGGTACTGACGTGTGCTGCGTGTACGAAACTAGGATCAATGACCCTCACGGGATTGCTGACCTAACTGCGCCCGACTTGTCTTCTCGCTATTGGTTGCATTCATTACTTTTTCCTCATTCATTGCTAGTTATTAAAACTATGGCAGTGACGAGAGTAATTGCAACTGCATCCACTGCACTTTCGTGTCTAACAAAGCGTATACATCACTGCCCAGCGTGAATTTATTGGAATCAATACACGACAAAAAGAACCGCCTGAAATCACTGATCCAGACGTACTACTCATAAGTAACATTAGACAGTTCAGCATCTGGTAGAGAAGACAAGCTCCGAACAATGAACAGTGGGTGAGAGCACTGTAGCCAGTAATGAGCGGTATCGTTCCGGAGGCGACATTCGACACTACAGATGCACCATGAGCACTTATGGTGCGAAGATATCTGAAGATTTCATGCTGAGGAAACATTTCGCTTTCCTGCACACGCGTTCCCCGACTGGTGTCCATTTATTGCCTTTTCATAGTGATAGTGAAATCTAACTAACATCTTTTTAACTCGTTTTGGTTGTTAACTGCTTGGTTTTCTCCTTAGCTCATATTTGTCCCGGTGATGCGGAGTATACTTGAACAGACGACCAGATCAAAATGATTGACGCAATCCTTTAAATCAAGCAGATCATCTCTCCGGTTCCGCAGTCAGTTATGGAGATGCACAATGAAACGTTTGAAAAAGGCATGATCAAGGTATGCGGTGCGCTATGCACCGCAAATGAAAAACGCGGGATAGGTAGAGGGATCGTATCGTTGGAATTCACCATTGCGGCTGACAACAAGCCATACTGCTGTCGGTAGAGCAAGATCTAGAACGCACACATTGCTTGGAACTTCATAGTACAGTTATAGGATTCCAACAAAAGTGCACTGCGAACCAGAATAGATAACATGGTGAAATATGTCTCGACTGAGATGGTGACAAGCACGTTATGTGAACACGAATTAAATCGAAACGAGTGTACTTGCCATCGGGACCAATTGCCTTCAAAAACCACTTGACGAACGGTCCAGGCATACCGTTTAGCGCATCGAAACATAAGGCGGTGTCTTCTGTCAGTACCGGTCCGTCAATCAACTTGCTAGCGCTTAGGCATTTTTCGCGACTGATCTCTTCTATACTGCCCTGGAGCTCTGGCAAATCAAGTTGCACAGGTTTTAGCTAACCAATTTAGAGGTGAATATCATGAAGGTCTGGCCTACTCGATCGGCATATTCATCGCCCAAGATTTTGACTACTTCCAACAGCTTGTTTCGATTGCTCGTAATGAAGGATACAGGGAACTGCATCGCTGGTGCTGAAGATACAACGGTAAAGGATGAGATGAAAGGTTGTGGTTGTACGAAATAGCAAAACATACACAATGGCTAGGAAATCCAAAACGACATAGCCTATGAGGGAATAAACCGAACCGATAGTTTCACGGCAACATTCAGTTCGCTTCCGGAAAATTTAAATCCACCACGCACGTAGCCGCAGTTCCAAACAGCTATTTTGGCAACTGGCTTATCCATTTTAAAAGCCAGCTGTTCTTGAGTCGAACTATAAATGTGTTTCAATTTTCAGACTACGTATGCCGTCTCGGCAGTTGCTCTTTTAACATGTCTTCCGGCTTGGGGTTAATGACTTATGATTCGAGTCGAGGATGACAAGCTTGCGAGAAACAAGACCGTTTGCGGCAAGAAGAGCATAGAACTCAGAAAGTCCAAGGCTTGAACGCGTGGTCTATAGGAATGTGACACAAGCGTATGCAGCTTAACATGTTTAGCACAGGAATTCTGCTTCAAGGAGGCCTTTGAACATGCAAACCTCAGTAAGCACGCCTGCTGAAAGTGAATATGTTTTAAAAAAGAAAATAGTCTTGAACTGCTTTACCTGATAACAGTAACGAAGCCTTCCAAAGGAGCAAAGATCAAATCAACGCAAGTCCGGGCTAATCTTTCCCGTCAAAATACGGTAAGCGAGGATCAAGTCCTTTCCGATCCTTCGGTAGTACATTGAGTACATTCCCGATACCGAGATACCTCTGCCTTTCTATATTGTATTATATTTAACACTTGCTCAATAAACACTTGGCAGAGTGCCACAGCAATAACGAAAAGGAGGAAGCAGTGTCAGATAAAGGGATGCAAAGTCACATGTGCTGTGTGGGCAGAGACCTTCCCGGTTGCCCAGGCCGGGAAAGAGGGTTGACTTAAGGGAACCCACCCCGAGCTTTTGGTCTTAAAAACCTGACCCGAAAGGCAGCGGGACGATTCACGAAGACCGTTGACAGACAGGTGGCTCATTCACTTCCTTGTGTTCAGGAGCAGTCCACAGAGAACCTAGTGGCCAGCAAGGTTGTTCATCCGCCCTCCGTTAGATACTCACCTCCAATTACAGAAGTGAGTGGTCAGTGACCCTATAGCCGGTCACATTGACTTTGACACAGCGCCGTACGATTACTTGTGGTATTTAATGGAGAACCAGCCCAGAACTCCCCACGCTCTGCGACGATGCCGCTTTGTCCACGACTGCTTATTCATCTCGCCTGCAAAGAAGAAGAGACTTATTCGCAGTTACCTCCACAAAGAAGGCATTCCCCGATCCGCAATGTGGGGGACGCGCCCGATAGCGGACAGCCCTTGTAAACCTTGCACTAACCTTGTAGGTACCTGTAAAACCCTCCCCAAATCCATTTTGTCTCGGATAAAGCATGGTGGGCAAACCTGGATACAGTTTTCCAATTGATGTCGCACGGAAGCCGAAAATAACTTCACGGACGCATCGGTCGTTAAGACTCCGAAAAAACGGAACCATTCCACAAGCAGCCTTCTTCCAATTGTCATCCGAGTGAAGGTCTTATGAGTGGACGGCACCCAAATCAACCTGCGGAGTGGCAACGTGAATTTCACTTCCGCCAACAAAATATCTTGTAGGTATACTAGCAGCTCCTATTCGGAGAACAGAATACTTGGCCCGATTTATGGACATTAACTATAAAACAGGCTACTCCCAGAGCCTATCTAACGCATTCTGAATTGCCTTAGAACCCTCAAGGATAACCACGACATTCTCCACTTTAAGGTCATCAACAAACATTAACGACGACACTCCAAGCTCCCCGGTAAGTCATTTACAGTGATCATGAACAGCAATGGCCCTAATACCGAGCCTTTCGGAAGGCCACTAAGAACAGCTTGCTTAACCAGAAGTCCATGCCCCACACGTACAACCGATTCCCTTCCCTTCGGGAAAGCAGACAACCATTCAAGGGCACGACCAGATATCTCGTAAGATCGCAACTTTTGTAATAAGGGACAGTGTCAAAGCTTTCGCAAAGTCTATGGACAGCACATCTATAGCGTGGCTAGTGTTTGCCGTGTCTGCCCAGCTTTCACGAGATACAAGTAAATAAGTCTGATGCAAAAAGAACCTGTGGAATCCGTGTTGCGTGGTACTGAGGATGTTAGATATGTTCCGGTGTTTCTCAACCGAATCCCTCAGCAATTTTCAAACAACCTGACTACAACACTCGTCAAATTCACAGACCGGTAGTTCGCGGGCAGATTACTGTCATCGCGTCCAAAAATCGCACAAATGATGGTTTGTCTTCATTTCGGATGTAAGATGCAGCTGTGAAGCGATTTTGAAAACATGCCTTGAAGCCACTCAGTTCAGCGACCAATGCATACAATATCCTCGGGTGAATTGAACTGGGGGCCAGGATTTTTAGAGGAGTTTATGCCTTACAATAGTCCGAAGATCTGAGTCTCCGTTATGCTGAATTACAACTTCAAATGGAACTCTTGACACCGATTCAACCTGTGGTAAAGAAATCTCTAGAACAAACGTCTTAGCATA